AAGCAAAGGTCAAGCTTTGCAAACTGGATGGCAAGGTCACGCCCTCCAGGTTCTGGTCAAACGTGGCACCAAAAGTCAAGTTTTGCAAACCGTTCGGAAAGGTCACGTCCTTCGGGTTAAAGGCAGCAACAAACGTCAAGCTTTGCAAACCGGATGGAAAGGTCACGCCCTTCAGGTTCTGGTTAAAGGCCAGAAACCAAGTAAAGCTTTAACAAACGGACGAGAAAGTAACGATTCCTCTAGTTAACTGGTAAAAACGCAAGCACCAAAAGTACAGCTTTGCCACAAAAGGATGGAAAGGTCACATATACTCACAGAGTTATAGGTAAAAGGAAGACAACCAAAAGTCCAAGCCTGTTTGGGGTGTTAAGGGTTGCTTTGTGGAGAGATTGGTGGTGAGTTGGAGGGATTTTCCTTCTTGTAATATCTCTCTTTGTGTATTTGTATTCAGTTTATTACTCTTTTTTGCTAGTTGACAACCGGATATGTAATGTGAAGCACCGTCACTGCCCTCCAGGTTCTGTGTAAAGCAGCCCCACCAAACGTCAAGCTTAGATTGGCCGTTTAAACCTGAAACAGCCGATTGGAAAGTCACTGCTCCTCCAGGTTGGTTGATAGGAAGGCCCTAGCACCAAACAGTTTCGTAGCTTTTGCAACGGATGGAAAGGCCGTTTCCCACGTCCTCCAGGTTCTGGTCAAACGCAGCACCAAACGTCAAGCTTTGCAAACCGGATGGGAAGGTGGCGCGCCCTTCAGGTTCTGGTCAAAGGCAAAGGCAAACATCAAGCTTTGCAAACTGGATGGCAAGGTCACGCCCTCCAGGTTCTGGTCAAACGCAGCACCAAGCTTCAAACCGTTTGGAAAGGTCCCGTTCTCCAGGTTCTGGTTAAAGGCAGCACCAAACGTCAAGCTTTGCAAACCGGATGGAAAGGTCACGTCCTCCAGGTTCTGGTTAAAGTCAGCACCAAACGTCAAGCTTTGCAAACCGGATGGAGAAGTCACGCCCTCCAGGTTCCGGTTAAGGCCAGCACCAAACGTCAAGCTTTGCAAACCGGATGGAAAGGTCACGTCCTCCAGGTTCTGGTCAAACGCAGCACCAAACGTCAAGCTTTGCAAACCGGATGGAAAGGTCACGTCCTTCAGGTTCTGGTTAAATTCAGCACCAAACGTCAAGCTTTGCAAATCGGATGGAGAAGTCACGCCCTCCAGGTTCTGGTTAAAGTCAGCACCAACCCCTGCAAACGTAAGAACATTAGAAATGAAGAAGTTTTACATCTGTTCAGATGTTACACACACACACACCCCGCATGTAGCGGGGTTGATTTTGGAAGATCGTCGCGGTCGAGGTCGGCAGAACCAATCAAATCAAATGAACCTACACGATGCTAGTGTACAAAGCTGCGGTCATTTCACTCAGAAGGGAAATTCGCTTCGAGTTGAAGTATTTGGATCGCTTCGCGGAAGCTCATGCCTTCAACAGTTCTCCATGTGTCGTTGATTTCTCCAGATGCCATAGCTGCCGTCAAAGTGTCTGAAAGTTGTTTGGCTAACTCCTGGATCTTGGTAGTTAGGCGGGGTGCCTCTGCAGGAGAAGTCGTCTCAATGGGAACATTGTGAAAAGGATGGTGCCCATGTACTAGAGGAATCTCAAAGTGAAAGCTTTGCAAACCAGATGGAAAGGTCACGCCCTTCAGGTTCTGGTCGAAGGCAAAAGCAAAGGTCAAGCTTTGCAAACTGGATGGCAAGGTCACGCCCTCCAGGTTCTGGTCAAACGTGGCACCAAAAGTCAAGTTTTGCAAACCGTTCGGAAAGGTCACGTCCTTCGGGTTAAAGGCAGCAACAAACGTCAAGCTTTGCAAACCGGATGGAAAGGTCACGCCCTTCAGGTTCTGGTTAAAGGCAAAAGCAAAGGTCAAGCTTTGCAAACTGGATGGCAAGGTCACGCCCTCCAGGTTCTGGTCAAACGCAGCACCAAACGTCAAGTTTTGCAAACCGTTCGGAAAGGTCACGTCCTTCGGGTTAAAGGCAGCAACAAACGTCAAGCTTTGCAAACCGGATGGAAAGGTCACGTCCTCCAGGTTCTGGTTAAAGGCAGCACCAAACGTCAAGCTTTACAAACCGGACGGAAAGGTCACGTCCTCTAGGTTCTGGTCAAACGCAGCACCAAACGTCAAGCTTTGCAAACCAGATGGAAAGGTCACATCCTCCAGGTTCTGGTTAAAGGCAGTACCAAACGTCAAGCTTTGCAAACCGGATGAAAAGGTCACGCCCTCCAGGTTCTGGTTTAAAGTCAGCACCAAACGTCAAGCTTGGCAAACAGGATGGAAAAGTCACGTCCTCCAGGTTGTGATTAAAGGCAGCACCAAACGTCTAGCTTTGCAAACCGGATGGAAAGGTCACGTCCTCCAGGTTCTGGTCAAACGCAGCACCAAACGTCAAGCTTTGCAAACCGGATGGAAAGGCGGCGCGCCCTTCAGGTTCTGGTCAAAGGCAAAGGTAAACATCAAGCTTTGTAAACTGGATGGCAAGGTCACGCCCTCCAGGGTCTGGTCAAACGCAGCACCAATCGGCAAGCTTTGCAAATCGTATGGAAAGGCATGTCCTCCAGGTTCTGGTTAAAGGCAGCACCAAACGTCAAGCTTTGCAAACCGGATGGAAAGGTCACACCCTCCTGGTTCTGGTTAACCGGACGGAAAGGTCACGTCCTCTAGGTTCCGGTCAAACGCAGCACCAAACGTCAAGCTTTGCAAACCGTTTGGAAAGGTCACGTCCTCCAGGTTCTGGTTAAAGGCAGCACCAAACGTCAAGCTTTGCAAACCGGACGGAAAGGTCACGTCCTCTAGGTTCCGGTCAAACGCAGCACCAAACGTCAAGCTTTGCAAACCGGATGGAAAGGTCACGTCCTCCAGGTTCTCAGGGTGCCGATTTCCCCCACTTCAACATGAATGCCAACTTGATGGCTGTGGTGGCCATCACCTCAGAAACCTCGGATCTGGATCATTGCACGCAGTGAAACATATGATGTAGTGAAACAATGTGAAACATTGACGCGGTGAAACAATGTGAACATAGACGCAGTGAAACAATGTGAAACATTGGCGCAGTGAAACAATGTGAAACATTGACGCAGTGAAACAATGTGAACATAGACGCAGTGAAACAATGTGAAACATTGACGCAGTGAAACAATGTGAAACATTGACGTAGTGAAACAATGTGAACATAGACGCAGTGAAACATATAGCATCAGTGAAACTCAAAGCATGCAGCAACACAACATGCCACCGCAACATGCGCTGAAGGAGAAAAGTTTGAAGAAAAAGGCATTCATTGCCACCGTCCTCCAGGTTCTGGTCAGGCATCTTGGTCCAGGTCTATGCAGAGGTTGACCGAATGTGAAGGGTGTAGGTGCACTGGTAGTAGTCGGAAAAGTAGGATGCATCAATGGAGGTGGAGAAGCAGTCGTCGGTGGCCAAATCGGTGCCGAAGGCGGTGAACTTGTAAGATGGTTGCCCAAAAAGGTGTTCAAAAGGAGTCGGGGCGGTGATGTGCTTGAGGTAGACCTTGAAGTTGTGCTAGTGGTGGTTACAGTGGTTGAGGCGCTTGATGTGGAGGAGCTGGAAGTACTTGTGCT